ATATGCTTTATATGACTATCTTAATTAAACTGTAAGCAAGGTTTGTACTTGCCTGGATTCCGAGCTAAGCGATTCTGATAGTATCTCGCTTATCGTGTCCTCCTGCGTATTCCTCAAAACTAATTTTGGGAAAAGCTGCAAGCACTATGAATGATCCTTGAGGAACATCGTAGTTTTAAACACTCGATTCTGATCTTCACTTGCTTAGTCTGAACCACCTCGATCCGCGTGCAATCAGTACTAGACCATTCTTATCAGAATTGAATTTGGTTGAACGGACGTCACCATTTCGTTTCGCACGTCAAAACGAGTCGGGATATGGTCTCGGATCATCAAACGGATGTCGATAGCCTGAGAAACGACACCTCTCTGGAATATGGCGACGGCGGCGTACGGCGGCGGAGGCTCCCAGAGAGTTTTTCCGCGGCGGACTTAGGTCCTACCCCCCTAACTTAACCCTTCTGAGTCCATTGGTGCGGTCAATTTCACACCATTCAGCCTGTAACAGTACCTATCGGTACCGGCAACGTCGGCAAAATCAGGTGACTCAAATCTCACAATTCCGGTCATCAATTCTTAAAATTGGTTGAGGGGTTTTCATACCCACTTCTTTCTGAGTGTTATGACACCAAAGTCACTACGATCCAACAGTTAGATCGTCGAAACCACCTCTTCCCTCCACGGACGACGGCAGTGGCTCCGTTTTCCGGCCAAACTGCGACGGTGACGATGGCTGCTGGTCGGGATCTACTGGGCGTCAGCTTCTAAGTCGATTAGTAGGGGCGGTGACATCCACGACGGCCTAGAGAGAGAGAAACGACGGTGGCGGCGGCGGTGGCGATTCTGACCACCACGGACGGCGGTGCTCCGGCCAGAATCGAGCTATGAAAATGGATGGGTTTTCTTCATCTCACTACACTGAGTCTATAGGGACTGAAATCGTCTCAATCGGAGGTCGGATGACGGAGATATCACGACGGGAAGAAATGGGTAATTTCAGAACTTCCATCGGTGATTGCGGCTGATTCCGGCGGAGTTGGAGGTCGTGCCGCATGTCGTTGAACTCAGCTCGTCGAGATCTTTCTATTGACACCGGCAGTGTCAAAAACGGAGGTCAGAATCTCAACTTGAGTATTTGGCCATTGATGGTTTGTGTGAGAGAACGTGAGAGGAGAGAGAGAATGAGCGGGAATAAGAGAAAGAAAGTGCAAGAACCCTAAAAATTTCACTATATAAAGTATCTGATTAAGGCAAGATTACGTGCCTGATCTTATCCTCAATTATTTCCTCTAAACAGATTAAATTTATACTGATTAGAGGTAATTAGTTTAGCTCACGTAAGTTAATCAACTACTTACAGTCCAATATCAATTTCTGAATAATTCAATAATGTTTTATATTCTTACTCGCGTAATATTTCAAACTGTTTCAAGTCTTGAAATTAATTTTAGACTGAA